AATGATACTAAATTGAAAAGTTTTGAAGTTGAACAAGAGTGAATTAAACTTGAAAAAGAAATAGCTAAAATGAAAAAATATGAAATAGAAGAAAGATTATTAATTGAAAAACAAAAACTTCAATGGGAGAAAGAAAAAGTTAAAAAGGAAAATATAAAAAATAAAAAACAACAGCAAAATAATCTTATTATTGAGCTTATACTACAAGATAAATCTTTTCAGAAATTAAAGAAATGTTAGATTTTTTTAATAATTTGTAATATTAATATTTGCAATAATAATTAATGATTTTATAATTATATTAATTATAATACAATATAATATAATATTAATTAATTATATTATATATTATATTGAAGAACTAAATATTGTATATATTGTCTTATTTTTTTATCTGATTCATTACTATCATCTATTAAATCGTTTAAATCATTTAAATTTGATTTATGTTCAATTTCATTTAAAGATTCATTCCATATATCTATATTTTTTAATAATAAATTATAAAGTATAATTGTTGCTTTTATAATATTTAAAACAAATTTTAAATTTTTTTCTGATGAAATTTGAGTTCTTATTCTATTTAGGCAACCAAATCTTCTTTTCCAAATTCTATTAACATGTTCAATTCTAACACGTTTTTTGGCAAGTAATTTATTAAAAATTGCATTTTATAGAATACTCACATATGGTTGTCTATAAGGAACTATTGTTGTTGAAGTAAGTTGATAACCACAATCTGCTAACAAATATTTTCTATTATTAAAACAATGTTGAGCATTTTGAAATAATGATATTAATTTATAAGCAATTGAATTTGTAACTGATCTAGACCATCCAAAGTTAGCAAATCAAATATATTTAAAATTATCACAAATTAATTGTATAGTCAAAGTATATTTTTTTTGACTATAATAAGGTTTCTATCTTTTGTTGGCTTATATTCAAGTACTATATCAGTTCTATCTAAAAATCTAATACAATCTTTAAATCCTGATGACAATTCTATTTGCTTACTAATTTGTTGTTACTTCAAAGAATTAGACCAGTAAAACTTAGTTATTACTAATAGAATTTATTGCTGTTATTACATGCTTGATATATTTAATAACTGTACTAATTCCTAAACCCCATTGTCTAGCAAATTGTCTAATAGAAACACTATTTCTATTGCAACCTAATATTTCTAAAGTAACTGCTAATTGTAACCAAACTGGTTTTTGGAAATATTTAGATCAATTTAAAAAAACTAGATTATTATATATAAGATTTTCTATATACTAGAATGTTTTTTTATTAATTCTTGTTATTTGTTTAAAATTAAAAATCATTGTATTTAAACAAAAGAACTCAAGAAAAATCATAAGACTTAATAGTTTTTTTTATATACAGTGAGATACTGATCTAATTCAATTGTTTGCAATAGTTCTAACAACTTATTAATTTCTTTTTCAAGAATATTAATTGAATTTTTATGAGTACTATTAGAATATTCTTCCATGAATATTTCTAAAATATTATTTATGTCTTTAATCTGTAATTGTCGATCAGACATATGAAGCATTTTTAAAATATATATATGAAAGATATAAAGTTCGAAAGCAAATTTACAATTGTAAAAAGTATTATTATATAAATAAGCTTACAAATCAAAATAAATAAAATTTACAAATCACTGATTTCAAAATAATTATGTCACTAATTTAATTCAAAATTGGAAACCATGAGCATTAGGTTTGAATCACCCTATTGTCAGTATTATAGCTTCGGTGAAATGGTATTTCAGTGAAATTGATTTCAGGAAGTCTATCACACTGGCTATATTATACATATATACTATTAATGATCAATATTTCCTTATGAGTTTAACTAACTATAACCGTGATGATTATCACCAGTGTGTAATTAGCCAATAATGATAAACTAAAAAAAGATTTCATTTCATTTACTTTAGGGTTAGGGTAAGGCCTGGGATTTTAGTAAGGTATTAGATATATGCAAAATTTAGCAAAGAATTTTTTTTGTTAGAACATTTAAGGTAGTTTCATAGGCGAATTTTTGAGATATTGGTATTTTTTTAAAAAAAATCTTTATCTTTGTTACTCAAATTAATTTGCACGTTACACCTAGAGATGCAGGAGAATTAATTCCGCACATGTAGAATTAATTCTAATGATTTAAGGGCAACTTTCAATTTTGTGAAATCGCCGCGGGACCACTCAGCACTATATACTGTCGAAAATCCACCATTGCCAATTACTTTGATATTCTTGAATTCATTGTATGGAATCGACAATAGTTCATGATTTCCATCGTTTAATATCTCTTTTAAATCATCATCAAAATTATTTAACCCATATTTGTTTCGTCCCCTATTTATATAGAATAATAAACTTGCGTCAAATCTAAACATATCATACATTTATTTAGTTGTCACTTACCAATAATTAGCTAGAGGTAAATCTTTAGTTACTCCAATTCCCAATAGATAACATAAACGTACATTATGTATTCCAGTGGCATCACCCATCTTTGCAGATTTCATGTACCAGTTTTTGTATCTTTTTCTACTCCAATCCCATTTTGATAAAAATAACCAACTTCATTTATTCCAGGGACCTTACCCATATCAGCAGATTTTTTATAATAAATGAATGCCTTATGTCTATCCTTTTTAACTCCAATTCCAATACGATAACAACGACCAACATTAAATATTCCATCAGCATTGCTCATATCAGCAGATTTTTGATAATATTTGAATGCTTTATGTTTATTTTTTTCAACTACTATCCCATTTTCATAACAACGTCCAAGATTATATATTCCATCTACGTGCCCCATATCTGCAGATTTCTGATAATATTTGGAATGCCTTCCTGATATCTTTTTCAACTCCTATTCCACCTTCATAGAAACGTCAAACATTATATATTCCATCTATATGTCCGATATCTGCAGATTTTTTGATAAAATTTGAATGCCTTCCTTATACCTTTTTCAACCCCTATTTCATTTTCATAGCAATGCCCAAGATTATATATTCCATATACATGGCCCATATCTGCAGATTTTTGATAATATTTGAATGCCTCATTTGTATTCTTTTCAACTCCTATTCCATTTTCATAACAACGTCCAGTATTATATATTCCATCAGCATGTCCCATATCTGCGGATTTTTGATAATATTTGAACGCCTTCTTTATATCTTTTTCAACTCCTCTTCCATTTTCTTAACTCTGTCCAACT